AAAAATATTTTAAAAATTAGATTTTAGATAAATATACATATGGCCGATAATTCGAATATCCGGCGGATATGACATTCATATCCGTACGTATCCGCGGGTATCAGGATATTATCCGTATCTTATACCAGCCAAATGTTAATATAAAAAATAATATATAAAAGATTAATTAAGAGTAATATTTCTTTGTCTAATAATTTCCTCCATAAACTTTTGATGTAAATTTATATCAAAACAATTTTCTGATTGAATGCCATATGTTTTCTGACAAAGTATTGGATCTTCTATTAAAATACCTAAAAATATAAATAATATTTTATATAAAGTTTTGGTTTTTTACCAGCAATACATGCAGAAATAAAGCAAGTAATATTTCCTCCAAAAAGAGCACTCATAATTAATTTAGAAATTACAGGTTTTGTTTTAGGTGCAATTCCTCCTATTATAGCCATCTGTGCACCGGCTGAAATTAAATTGCTAAAACTGCAAAGGGAATATGTTGCAATCATTGCTGTACGAGGCTGTAAACAATAATTAATAATATAAGTAATATTTTAAATATTCTTTCAGAAACCGTCAAAAGATGAAGAATTTCACCAAGTTGTTTGAAGGAGAGAAGGTCACTGACTGCAATTTTTATACCTAGGAGTCTTCCGACAAGCTTAAAGCAAAAATTATTTTTTATAAATTTCAATAAATTTTGCATATTGCATTGCTTATTTTGGGATTTCACGTAAATATTTTGCCACTCCCTATTTATAACCCATCTTTTAATGTTTATATTAACATACTAAAGCTTGATCCATACCATCAGTAACACCAATTAAATAAGCAATAGGGAAAAGCGCATATCCAAACAATAACTCCAAACTCCATCCTGGATAACCTAATAAGGAACCCGCATATTCAATAATTCCACTTATTAATGCAGTAAGTGATATAAAAGTAATCATACTAGCTACTAAACAATTGACTAAATGAATAGCCTCTGTTGATCCAGAAGAAATACTTTCCATTGCATTCTTCTTTTTACTTAAAAAAGTTAGACTATAAATTAGGTCAGAAAATTTTTTTAACACACTCATTTTAAGCGAAATGTAAAATTACCTCGGTGGTAAATCCAAATCATCAACCCGTTTAGTTGTAGATTCCTCAGTTTCTGGATAAAGGAGTTTTGAGCAGGCTAATGAGCCAGGGGCGCCCATTACCGCAGCTGAAAGTAAATAACGAGGACAAGCACCGAAACTAATAAATACAGCAAAGACGGCACCAGCAATACATGAAAAACTGAAACGATCAAATTAATATACATATGTATCAACAATATCTATTAACCCAGTAGTTATGATTGCATGTAATTCAGAATTAGTCATTTTTTCTATATAAGGACGAATAAGCAGTGGAGATTCTGCCTTAAAAATATATGTAGTTTAAAAATAATTTTTAATTAAGAGAAATACATTTCCTAAAAGAACACAACCACAAGCATTTAAAGATTCTGTGGCTGTTGTCCCCATAGTAAATTGCATTAACCAAGCTAATCTTTTTAGGACTGCTTGAATAATTCCATAGAAATAAAGAACAGAGACAAGAGCACCAACATAAATAATTACTTGAAGAATCTTAAGGAAAATGAGTGTATTGTAAAATAGAAAAATATGGTTAGGTAATTTAAAGCAATTTAATTTACTTATGATTTTAAATTATTTATTTAATAAATTTAAAAAATCAAATAAAATCCAAATAATTATTTTCATTTTTTTAAATAAAAATTAATCAGGAAACCTTAAAAGCTAAAACGGGATGCATTCCACAGATATTTGGTGGGGATGACAAAAATCCATATACAAAATCAGTTCCATGGAAAGTAAAATCAAGTATTGAAATAATTAAATTAGAAATCTCGCTGAATTTATTTGCACCCCAATCCTATAAATAAAATTAATTGAATAATTCATATACTTTCAGAACTAACCCAACGTAATACAATAATTCCAAAAATAAATTGAAGCAGAAATCCCCAAAGAACTGGACGCCAATTAATCTAAATATTTTATGTACATATTTATAATTAATTATTAGAGCTAATATTTTTGATATTTAATTTACTTTAGAAGGTTTATGAGAGCAAAGACAAAGTAAAATTACGAAAAAACAAAGACCAACTAATCCAGAAAGGCGATGTGGAGCACTAAAAAATAAATTTAAATATTTTAATCGCATGAACCCGAACAGATAGAAAATTCAGTGCCCTAATAGGGGGTCTTAGACCGTTCGGGACACCAAAATATATTAATCCAATTACATATGTAGATTTTTAATTAAAAAATATATGTGTTCTTAATTAAGTGTGTTTTAATTAAATTAATTAAATATAAATTGATCCAAACCGGAAGAATGTTTTTTTTTAATTTTGATACTAAATGGAGTGCCTCAATAGGGCACCCAACACCGAAATATATTAATTTAATTATGTAGTTAATTTAACTATGTATTAATTAAATATTAATTTTTTACTTTCTGCAATCCCAAATCATGTAAGAAAGTGGAATAAGAAATCCAAATAAATTGCACAATCTACATATATATTTTAAATTAAATTAAAAAAAAAATAAAAATATATTTAATGCCTTATTAAAGATTTATTATTTTTAATAGCTTCAGTAAAAGAATAAAATTGAGCATATTGTCTTCTTCTAGTTATTATTTTAGTTCTTGCTTTCAAAAAAGGTAACAGAAATTTTCTATAAAAAATATAAAGCCAACATATTGAAGTAAATATAGCAAGATTAAATGATTTATTTGAATCATGTAAAAGTGCCAAAACTTTAATTTAAAAATTTTTATTAAAAATAATTTTTTAAAATTTTTTCTGACACCTTCGAAAGAAGAGGAATTTTGAGAGGGGTTTTCCTATAGTCTATTTGTGATTGAGACACTATTTGAAGTTGAAATAAAACAGATGGAGTTCCTTGGAATAGATATAAGTTCCTTAAGCTTTGTAAAGTCCCTTGGGATGATAATCTTATGTTTACCTAAGGCATTTATTTTTCCAAAAGACTTTCCAAAACCTTTACAGAAGAATAAAATACTTTTAAAACTATTTATCTATTTACCTAAAAATAAATGATAACCCAACAAAATTCCAATTAATAGAATGCCTCTAACAACTTGTTTATATTTAATAATAAATTCTTTGCAAAATATTTGGAATTTTTCTATTGCCAACATCGGATTATTCCAACAATTATCATCATTTAAATTTAAAGATGCTTTAGTAACTTTATTATTTATTTGTAATTCCATTCCTTTTTCTTCACCAAAATTATTTTCAATAGACAAAATAGCTACTTGAGAAGGAGATTCTTTTATTTTATTATTAATTTCTTGGCATTCTTTATTACAGTCATTATTTTCTTTGGAAATATTAGAATTCATTTGTCATAAAAATTGAATGGAGTTGACATCTACTGAGAGATTTTTTATTTTATTTTTATAATATTTGGATTTGCATTAATTTTTTGTGTTTATTTTACAAAAATATATATAAATATTTTAATGTAGTATTGCCAATTTCACCAAAAATGATAAATATTAAATATTTTGAAGTTAACATAAAATTCCATGTTAAAATGTTTATACAAATAAAATTTATAAAAATATATATCTATCTATTTATATGTATAATAAATATTTAAATAATATTCTATGTTAAGTTTAATTTCAGTTTTTAATAAAATACAAACTAATAAAAGCAAACAGAAATTATAAATAAAATTTTATTTAAATCTGCATATTGAATAATAAAATTTGAATGAATGTTATAAAATATATTTGTTAGAATAAATGATTGAATCAATGAATAAAACTAGTAAATAAAGTAAATTAAAACAAGTTCAGATAATTCGGTAAATTCAGAATTTATCAAGAGTCTACCAATATGAATCAAATAAAATTAGATAATATTTTTGATTCTTAAAATCTCCTTCATCAAATTGTTTTTAGTCAAATTGAATTTGAAATTTATTAAATTTAATGAATTTTTAAAATTTTTTCTTTAAAAGTATTGAACAACAAACTTACTTTTCACTCAAAACAAATAAATATAGATTTATTTACACAATTACTTTTAAAAAAGTTGGGGGTTTCATAGATTTTTTAAACAAATGTACATATATACATAGATATTGGCTGTAAAAACACGTGAAAAACACGCAAAACACCATCCAATCCTGATTGGTTATTCCTAAAAATTTTAAACATTTCTAACTACTTTCCTCTTTTAATCTATGTTAATCTAGTATGTGTTAATAATAATAATTTTTTTGTATTTTTATTTATTTGTCTTTTGTGACAGCTCGAAGATGGGCATTTTTATTCATTCAGTATATTCCTTCAGCAAGTATGGATATAACAGATCTAAATCCAGGCCTAAGCGTCCTGCTGAATCCCCCTTATTCCGTTTCTCTGGGTCTCTCCGAGACCAATTACCGTCGATCCAGAAGGAATAAACACAAATTTACTTCTCTAAATATATAATTTTCTTTAAAATAATTAACAGATCTCCTTTATAATACAATCAGAGTTGAAGGGATAATGTGAAAAATATATAATTAAGTTAAATACTTACATAAGTACTTCTTAAAAGATAACAATTTAAAGTTAAACAAGAAAGTCTGAAGTATTTTATTTAAAAAATTAAATTTAAAGAGATTAAAATAAATTTATAAATTATATAAATATCTTTACAAATTCAAATGGAATCTTCTCAAATTTAAATAAAAAATCTCATTTTATTGTAGCAAATACTTGAGGAACCAATTCCTGGAATAAAAAATGGATAAAATTAATAATTAAATGACTAGGACTTATTGCCTAATAATTTGTTTAGATTTTATATTATTTTATCGAGAATTATTATTTTGCTTCCACAAAAACTTTTGAGTCCTCAAAAAAGTTGGGTCCTCAAAATCGTGCGTAACGGAAAATTAATATTTTAGAGACTATTCCAAATCGCTATAGATCCGAATAAATTTTAATAATTTAAGGGAACTAATTTTTTTATCTAGAAAAGTTGCTTTCAACTTAATTAACGCAATCAAATAATTCATCAATTTATTTCGAATAATTGAACATAAGTACTTTGCATGTTGCACTACATGATCTAAAGTCCCAGCTTCCTCAAAAAGATGTGTCGCCCCTTCAACAATAATTAATTCTTTTTCTTTACAATTAACAAGTGCTTCAATTGCCCTTTGATTCATTCCAATAACTGGTTCATCCAAACTTCCAACAAGCATTAAAGTAGGTATAGTTACTTTATCCAAAACAGGTATAGCCAAATCAGGACGGCCACCACGGGAAACTACTGTTTTTATTTTGATTTCTGGATTGGCAGATGCAACTGCCATTAAAGCTGCACCTGCACCAGTACTGGAAATAATTAAGGTATGAAATAATGAAAAAACAATTTCATAAACAGCCTTAAAACCCCCAAAACATGACAGAAATATTTAAATTTTCCTTAATTTGCCCACCTAGCCCCAAAATATCCTTGCGTGAATGTTTCTGTTTCAACATTAGAATGCACCCATTCTGAAGCTCGATTAAGTCGAGAAGCCAAAAGAGGAATATCAAAAACATTTTGCCGAATAGCCTCTTCTTCAGGTCTAAGTAAATCCAATAAAAGTGTAGCCATTCCTGCCCGCCTCAATTCAGCAGCAACATAATTATTCCTTGGACTTAATCTTCCACTTCCACTACCGTGGGCAAAAATAACAATAGAACGGGCACCCAAAGGGATTCCAAGTAATGCTGAGAGCCCTTCCGGTTCAATAGTAATTTCTCTAACATCTTCTGTATCTTCCATTGTTAAAGTTGTTTTTGTCAATAAAGTTTTTGTTGTCTTTATTGTTTTAATTATTAATAGTCTTTTGTTAAAAAATAATAAATTTTTAGGTAATAAAAAAGAAAAACTTTTTGGAAAGGTCATTGATAAAATTTAAAAAAATAAAAATAAAATGACAAACACAGACGATTAGATTAGGACAAATAAAAATAACAAAAATCAATCCATTCCTTTTTTAATAGTTTAAAGTAGGGTTGGTCCCCGAGCCTTCGGGGTTGGAAAAGTCGGGGGTCGGGGTTTTCGGGGTTGACAAAGTCGGGGTCGGGGTCGGGGTTGCTCAAATTGTTCGGGGTCGGGGTCGGGGCTGAAAATAATGTCGGGGTTCGGGGTCGGGGTCGGGGGTCGGGGTTGAAGTGAAAATTTACAAAATCCAGCATTTTTATCCAAAATTACTGTTCAAAATCAACATTTTTATTAAAAAATCAACTTAATCTTCATTATCTTCACTTTCTGTATCTAATTCGTGATTAGTTGAAGGCGCAAGAAGTACTTTATCCAAGTTATCCTTCATAATCCCCAAAATCCCCAAACCCACAAGGTAACTCTTACTCCACCTCTTATGTAAAGGGATTGAGGGGATATGAAGGCATATCAGAGGATTAAGATGGATATAATGGGATTTAGAGGGATTTGACGGGATATCGGGGAGTTGCAAGGATAACGGGAGAAATCCATCTATCCATCAATTTCTCCTAAAGCCTCTGTATCCCTTCATTGTGTCTAGCGCCGCAGGCAAAAATTTTGAGAATTTTGGAAGGTCAAGAGCCAGATTTCTTCCATTTTCGGCGCCGCAGGCAAAAATTTTTAGAATTTTGGAAGGCCAAGAGACAGATTTCTTCAATTTTCTGCGCCGCAGGCGAAAATTTTGGAAAATTCATGACTAGTTTAAAATTTCTAATATTGTTTCAAGTTTAAAATATTTAAAAAAATAAATTTACAAATTTAAAATCAAGATCATAGTTTAAAAATATTTATTTTTGAGAAGAAAAATTTTCTCAGCCTTATTTCCATCCCTGGATTCGAACAACATTCCTATCAAAATAGCTAAATGGCTGAAGTCAGTTAACTTAACCACTCAACCATCGACCAACAAAGGGAAACAGGAGAAAATATAAATATTCCTTTCCCTTTTCCTTCATATATTTAGCATCAAAGTCCCGATCCCGTTCCATCTCTAGTTAATTAATGCAGTTTGAGTCGGGGGCATAAAAATTTTTCGGGGTTCGGGGTCGTCGGGGTCGAACTTTCGGGGGTCGGGGTTTTCGGGGTTGGGAATGTCGGGGTCGGGGTCGGGGTTTTAGGTCAAAAAATGTCGGGGTTCGGGGTCGGGGTCGGGGTTAGTCGGGGTCGGGGACCAACCCTAGTTTAAAGAATTGTTATGTTATTTGGTGTGCCTTATTTACAGATGTAAACAACAAAATAAAATTGTTTACATGTAAAAAAATAAATAACGTAAAAAAAGAGAAATGTGGCAAGCAAAAAAAAATGAATTGGCCATAAGAATGTTCCTGTTATAGTCCTGGATCCGACAGTTCGTGGAAGCAGAAATACATACTGTTATTTTACACACATAATATAAATAAAATTTGAAATCAAAAATTTGTTTTTTAAAATCTTAGCTATTAAAGTATGTGGATTTTTATGTATTAAGAGAAAAAATAGCCAAAACGTACATAGTACATATATTTATTAGAGTTTCACCGGAAGTTCCGGTTCCGGTTCCGGTTCCGGAAAGTTCCGGTGTTTTTTTGGTTCCGGTTCCGGTTCCGGGAACCGGAACTCAAATTGGATCCGGTTCCGGTTCCGGCTCCGGTTTTCAAATCGGTTCCGGGCAAACCGGAACTTTTTTACACCCCTAAAGATTGATTTTTTTTAAAAATATTAATAAACTACTCGTACTCTCATACTTGTAGTAAAAAAAATCGAAAGAAATATGTTTATTTTCTTTCAATTGCATTCTGATGAGCGTGTGTCCGAGTGGTTAAGGGTTTAGGCTTCACTCAAGGGGTTAGTGATTTTGAGTTGGGTTCGCTTCCCGTTCGTAGGGCAGTAACTCTTCAAATTTTTCTTTCAACAAATAGCTCATTTTATGAGTTTAATTTTGTTTTAAAAATCATTATATTTTTACATGGAGTCAATGGGCCTAATATCCTTATTTACTTCCTTATCCGCATAAAACGTATATCGCTACTTCTTCCACTGATATCCCTTAAACCCCCTTGCGTTTCTGAATCCTTATATCGTCCGATATCAAACCCTTATACCACCAAATCCGTTCATACACCACTCTCTAACCCAAATATATCACTTATCGCCGACAAATTTTCGATTCGGTTTTGGTTAATCAAAAGTCTCGGTTCGGTTCGGTTTCGGTTAACCGAAGAAGTTGGTGAACAGTCAACTTTACTTAAACTACAAATTTTTTAAAATATGCTAGCAAAAATTTTTTAAAAGTTCCGGTTCCGGTTCCGGTTCCGGGCCGGAACTTTGAAAAGTTCCGGTTCCGGTTCCGGAAACCGGAACTCAAATTGGATCCGGTTCCGGTTCCGGTCAAAATTTCGGTTCCGGTGAAACACTAATATTTATTTATTTGCTAAGAGATTTGCAAAGCATTGATTAAAAATAAGAGTATAAAGAGAAGAAATACTGGGAGCCGAGAAAAAATTTACTAAAAAGTAAATAATAAAAGGTCCAAGACAGGGTCTTGTTTTTTAAATAAAGAAAAAGCAAGCTTAAAAAATTGGACTTTGTGTCAAGTTAACGATAAAATATTTTTTGTTCAACTTGGTGGATATTTGAAGTTTTGTGACTTCGGCTCCGGATGGAAATGGAATTAATTTTCAGCTCATGAAGAAAATAATTTCCTACTTCAGACTACTTCTCCGCCTGACGTTCTCAAAAAATATTTAAAAACCATCAAAAATCCCAGAATTCCTCAACTACATTTCTATAAAATAAAGAGAAGAAAAATAGGTATGAAGCACACAGAAAACACCTAATTTTTTCTCCCTTTGATGTCTTACAATTTTCGCTCAAATAACCTGTTAGAGGAAACTAATTGAGAAAGGGCAATTAATTGAGGAAATAATGTACAATTAATTTATTATTATCAAAAATTAACAATTTAAAAAGCAATTTCCAAACTATTCATCACAGATGTTTATTTTAATTGAAAATTATTTTATTTTCTTTTCATCTTCCATTTTTATACACAAATACTTAAACATCATCTTGATAGAGATCGTTGTTTTTTCCTTGAGATAATTATCCAAATAATAATCATTTTGTATTATAATGGCGGGAAGAGTGCCAATAAAGCAGCTTCCATTTCCTCAGCATTTCCAAAATATTCATCACAACTTATCATTTTAATTGAAAATAATTTTAAATTTCAATATTCTTACTCTCAATCAATTGTCAATATTTTATTACTTTTATATACTAATATAAATTTAATTTGTTCTAGTATTTATTGTTTAAATTAATTACGTCACACTATAAAATACATGTTATTTTAATTATATTTAGAAAGTTCCTTTTTATTCGTCATTAAAACAATTTAAACTTTATCTAATTATAGAAAATTTTAACTAATTTGAGAGACACATGTTTAGTGAATCATTTATTTCTATACTTGGATTATACTACAATAACTGTACTCTTATTTTTAAATATTATATAAAACATCATACATCTTAGATTAAGAGCTTTGAGTTAAACAGATTTACAATAATAAAACTTTAATTTGTATATTTAAGAATGGATTGTGTTAATTTATTCAAAATAATTTTATGTAAATGTTTAGGTATTTTATTCTTCCAATTTTGGTATTTCTTGCATCCTTAATCATTTTCGGCCTCCATAACCACCAAAGCCACCGAGGCCTCCTGATCCAAAACTACCAAGTCCAGCAAGATTCCCAGTCCCGATGTTGCCAAGGGCACCAAGTACACCACGGCTACTAAAACCATTTCCAAGGCCACCAAGTCCATTAAAGCCATTACCAAAGCCACTATATCCACTAAGGCTATTGCCAAGGCCACTAAGTCCACTAAAACCATTTCCAAGGCTACCAAGGCCATTACCAAAGCCAGTAAGTCCACTAAGGGTATTTCCAAGGCCACCAAGTCCACTAAAACCATTACCAAGACCACTAAGTCCGCCAAAATTACTACCATAGCTACCAATCCCACCAAGACCTCCTAACCCATTTGCGAATCCTCCGAGGCTACCCAGACTTCCAAGACCATTACCAAAACCTCCAAATCCATTGCTTCCTCCGATTCCATTCATAGTATTACTCATCAAACCTGTTAAACCAAAACTTAGATTTTTATTAAGAGTAGTGATGCTCGGGTATCCCGATCCCGACTCCCGACTCGGGAAAATTTCCCGAGTTTTTGGCCTCCCGATCCCGATCCCGACTCCCGGTGTCAATTCCCGACTAAGTCGGGAAATTTTTACACCCCTAAGAATGGATTTTTCTGACAAAATTATATTTTCATTTAGAAAAAATGAAGAAATCTGGCCTCTTGGTCTTGTAAAATTCCCAAAATTTTCGCCTGCGGCGCTGAAAATCGAAGATTTTTGGCTTAAGGATCATCCAAAATCCACAAAATTTTCGCCTGTGGCGCTGAAAATTGAAGAATCTGTGGAGTTGTAGTATAGAAGATTTCGTGATTTACTAGGATTATGGTGAATTTAAAGAGATAACGTGGTATTTGCAGTAATAAAGAGAGATATCAATGGATGATTAATGTTGCATAGGGGGTGTTAATACTAGAGTTGGACGATATCGATATTTTATGAGAAAACCGATATCGATATTGGTAGATATTGACATGGTCGAGATCGATATCGATGTGCAAGTTTTGAGTCTATTCTTAGAATTAAGAGATTCTATTCTCTCCATTCACTCCAATGGAGAGATTCTAAGGACTTAAGGTTAATGACAACAAATATAAATCAAAGCTGGGCTCTGGCTCAAAGAAAAAGCCCCCAGCAATACCCAACACTGATTATCTATGCGGTTACAAGGTTTTTTGGACAGGCTGTTGGCTTATCTTTCCAAATAATCGGGGAAA